ATTATTGAAGAAAATGCCAGGCGTGATGCTGAGAATGCTGAACACAAGGTCAGAATCGAGGAATTGGAGAAAAATAGTGTAGATATTTTAGCTGAGAATGCTGAGCTTAAAGCTAAATTAGCAAAATTAAGACATGATTTCGATTCCTCCAACCTCACGAGGCCTCAGCAACTACAGCACGTTACTAACATGCAGAACTTATGCTCTGTTGGAGAAGAAGAGATATCAGCTGTACCACAGCCATATGCTTCTCACGATATACCTAATCCTGTAATAGACCAGCCCATAAATAGATCACCTGGTGATAACGCAAACATCAAGCCATTGGAGGAAGAGATGATGGTCTCTTTTCTAGATGAAGTGAATAAGAAAATTGTCAGTGATGGGATAAGAAAGCGGGATGAGAAGTTTGCAAAAGTGGAACCCATCTCTCCTGAAAAAGATAAACAGGTATCTGTTAACAAAAAGGCATTTTACAAGAAAGAACAAAGGGAGAAATTCATTTGGGAAGCGTCTGAGGATTCAAGTACCAAATGTTTTAATACTATGGGTGAGCTGGGCTCAAATTCTTTGGATGTTTGCCTAAAGCAATCAGTACGAAGCTATGATTTCTCAGCAGTAAAAATGGAGACAACATTTTCTCTTTTGTATGAGAAACTTCTCGATGCTGAGGACTTTGCTGATCGTGTAGTCCAAGAGGTCATTATATATTACTGTCAATTTGGAAAAGCTCTTATCCAGAGACGAAGTGAAATAGCGTCTAAAAAACAAGTTGATCCAGAATCCAATGCTGTCAGTAGAATTTTAAATATGAAAGTTAGAGCTCAGCTTCCTGCAGATACTTCTGATGCACTTTTATGGAAAAGAATCGAGCAGGCCAAGAAACTCTGGAAGCTTTTTGATGCAATAAGCATGGATAAAATTTATCGGATACATTCATTCTCTGTTAGCAGTATTTCAAAAATGACGTATAAAGACATTCAGTATATCATAGATAATATGCCAGTTGACTACAGCATTAAGATAGAATCGTCCACCTGTGCTCAGCCGAAAGACACTTTGTTAAGTGATGAGAAAAATTCTGAATTGTCACATCCTGATATCGGTTCAGAAAGTGATAAGAAAAATTCTGAGTTGTCACATACTAATACATCAGAGGAACAAACATCTTCAAAATCTGGAGTAAATATTTCACCTGCATCTCGACTAATGTCTAAGAAGAACCCAACTTATAACCGATCCTATTTTCGCAACAAGATATTGGATCAATATCCTAATCTATATAGAGAATATAGTTATGAAAATTTTGATTATTATGGGATTACTGATGAAACATCATGCGGGAACTACATCTGCCCATTATGCAAATCAGGTCATGATGATGAAGAAATAGAAGGTGAGTATAAAGCCGGATCTTACTTTATTAAATGTGAACAGCGTGAAATTGAGATAACTGCATAGTCCAGATGATTAGACAGCTTTCTATCTGAAAAAATCTTTAATCTTTTTTTCGAATTGATGACCTGAGGAAGAAAAAGGGATTTAAATTGTTTGTAGTCATATAAAAAGGAAAATAACTGAGTCTGATAAAATACTAACCGCCAAATATCTGGATTGGCATACCAGATTAATTGGATTACCAAGTATTTTGACAGATAAGATTCGTTCCAAATTATACAAAAGATATAAAAAATAAACTGAAAATGAGCCATGGCAACTAACAGAAGTACATGAATCAGAAGTTATAAATTCGAAGCCAGAAAAAGAACCTATAACTTTTGAAGTCAGACCCGATCCAGAATTAATTATCCAATCCGTCTTAGAGCACTTCCCATACTTGAAATTCCAAAATAGTTTTAGAGGGATTGATAATTATATTTTTGCATCA